TTCTGCGATCTTTGAAGTATTGAAGATGACCTGTCTAATATGTCCCTGCAGGAGAGAAGATCTCATTTATGGATGGTTGTGAGCCATCATGTGGTTTCTGGGAATTGACCTCAGGATCTATGGAAGAACAACCAGAGCTCTTAACCTCTATCTCTCCAGCCCAAGCAATGCCAATCTTAAATTGTACAGGTATTCCCATGATGACCATAACTTCTAGCAATTATGTGATTACAGAATCAGCCTTTTCAGAACTCAAAGCAGTCACTCATTGAAATTCTGAATATGTATCAGTGATGTGGTGATGGGGGATGTCCTTCTGTATATATCTTTCTGTTATTGGTTGATGAATAAAACACTGATTGGCCAGTAGCCAGACAGGAAGTATAGGCTGGGCTACCAGATGAGGAGAAGGTGGGGGAGAGGAAGGCAGGGAGAAGCCAAAAGAGAGATGCCATGTAGAGGCAGAAGGAGTAACATTCATGGGCATTACAGGGTAAGCCAAGAGCATGTGGGAATACTTAGATTAATAGAAATGGGTTAATAATTAGGAGAGAGCTAGCCAGTAAGAAGCCCTAGCTATCAGCCAAACAATTTTTAAATTAATATGTCTTTGTGTGTGTATTTAGGGCTAATTGGCTACAGGACCAGGCTAAACAGAAACTCTGACTACAAAATGAAACACATTTATCTGCAGATTTCATTCCTTTGGGTTACTTCCTGCAGCTAGTGGAGTTTGGTTATAAAAAGAACAAGTAGGACATTTCCTTATAACTTCTTTGGCTTGTTGCCAAGTGATGGGAAAATCTTTTTTTTCAAATCTTTGCTATTTATATGATTTTTAAAATTAATTTCTGAGGCCTTCAGCACATTTCCTATCAATAGTTGATCAACTTCATCATACCTTGTGCTCGAGAGCCTGGCAGACATGTATGGGATCAGATGTGTGTTTTATATACATGGGATGATTTCTATTCCTGATTATTTCTTGTAACTGGATGAATAATAAAGTCAATTCTATATTATCTGGTATAAATTCAGCAGTTTCAGTATACAAAATAACTCTTTCTGTGTGTTGAAAATCAGTGATTATGTTAAGAGGTTCCATAATATCCATTAATATCATGAGAATAGCATGTAATTCTGACTTTTGTATAGAATCATAAGGGCTTTGAGTCACTCTACTTAAATTTCTTATTTGTAACCTGCCTTTCCTGATTCATTTGCATCAGTATAGAATGTAGGGGCTCTAGATATTTGTGTTCCCCATACAATGTCAGGAAGGATTCAGTTAGTTATCTTTTTAAATTGAATTCTCTTGCTTTTGGGATATTTGTTATTAATCTCTCCCCCTAAAATTACTGCAAGCTCTTTACCAAGGTGTTACCAGTGGTTTTGCCACCAGCCTGGTCCCACAGCTGCATCAGCCCCAAATAACACACAGAGATGCTATATTAGATATAAAGCTGTTGGCCTATTATTAGTGTTTCTTATTGGCTAGCTCTGTTTTAAATATTGACCCATTTCTATTAATCTAATTGTTTCCACGTGGTCTTATCTTAACAGAGAGAGGGTCCGGAGTTCTCTCTTGGTCTTACATTTTGAGTCTCCTCCTACCTCTTCCTGACTCCTCCTTGTCTTCTAGTCTTGCCTATCTTGCTTTCCTATTGGCCAACAGTGCTTTATTCATTAGCCAATATGAGAAACATATTTACAGAATGACATCTCCTATCATCTCCTCTTTTCTGTCTGAAATAAAAAGAAGGGTTTTAACCTTAACATAGTAAAATATATAAAGAAGCAGTTATCAAATAAGAACTATTGTTAACAACATTTAGTCCATTAACATTAAGCAAGATTTAAAGAAAATATTTCATCATCCATCTTATCTTTGTGAGTCTAAAGTTTTTTTTTTTTTTTTTTTTTTTTTTGAAAGATTTATTATGTGGTCAGTGTTCTGCCTACATGCCAGAAGAGGGCACCAGATCTCCTTACAGATGGTTGTGAGCTACTATGTGGTTGCTGGGACATTTGGAAGAGAGGCCAGTGCTCTTAACCTCTGAGCCACCTCTCCAGCTTGAGTCTAAAGTTCTATATGTAACTTATTTTTAATCCTAACTAAGGAAAACTGTAACCATAACTATCTGTCTTCAACTCCATCAAAGACCACAGAAGGATAATATATAAACTCTAGAAATGACAGCAACAACTCACTGCCTGGTCAGTCACCCGAAGTTCTTCTGTAATGTTCCATCTTCAGCGCATAGGCCATAGTATGTCTGGCAGACTTCTCAGCAAAGCAAGAAATTTCAAAATGTCCCATCTGTAATAGCAGTTTGTCAGTCACTTTTCTCTGTGTCCTGCAGACTGTCTGGCAGATGCTTCCATAAAGCAAGAACCCTGTAGCATTGTCCATCTTGTTTGAGCAGTCACTTTTCTGTGGGTCCTGCATGTTCAGTTTATACAGCATAAAGTCAAACAGTCCATACAAGAGCAGTATCTTGCCCAAATGGCTAGTCTTGCCATATTGAAAGAAAACTCCCTAACGAGTTTGATGTCCATCTTCTTCTGACGCAGCCTCACTGTTAAGAAAAGCCCTAAACCATTTTAAATACCATATTCTGTAGGTCTTTGAAGGGTTTGAAGAATGCCTATTCATCTCAAATACATCTCTGTATATCTAGAAATCCTAACTAACTATAAGGTAACTATCTAAAATCTGTACTGTAGTAAACATTACATTTTTAAATGAGCCATATAAACACCTAAACAAGAGGAGAAATATACATATCACAAAATTGACCTTAAATTTGTATCAACAAGTGAAAATCCATTCTAAAACAAAGTATTTATATCTATACCATAATCCCCTTTTTACCTTTAAAGAGATTGGTTGTGATCATTAACCATTTATAATCTACCTTATTTAAGTGAAAACAAACATTTATAAACAATATTTGTGAATTTGGGCACCTTTCTTTCCAAACTGCTTCCTGCTGGTAGGGGGAGCTGTCTTGGGGATCCTAAGAGGACGCAGAAATCCTGGCTGAAGTGGTCTGCAAGGCTGCCTTGTCCCAGCTGTTTTGAATGGTGGATCATCTGGGACATTGCTTCAGGGAGTCATGCTTGATCAAACCATGTTAGTCTGGAAGGAATCCACAGCAGCTTTTCATTTTCTGTGGAAACAAATAGAAATTCTTTTCCCCAGGAACCTGTCCTGAGACTTAAATTTTGGAGTCAAAGCATTTTTAAAATATATAAATTGGATTAATTTAGCAGCATTGATAATCAAGTGTATTGTAGTAATTATTTCTTCCTTAGTAATTGAGTAATTCAAAGACAACAATATAGCATACAGTATTCAGACTCTTTGTGTGCTTTCCATCTTCATGTGGCGTTTTTATTACCCTATTTCTTTTACTTTTATTTGTTTCATTTTTTGAGACAGGATTTTTTTTTGTGTGTGTGTGTGTTCTTACCTCTATGAAATCCTCAGAGTGAAAAGAGAGAAAGCTCATGTCTACTCCTGCCTTATATTCCTCTCTCCTCCAGACTTCTGTGGTAACTAGTGTTTATTTGGTAAAGTTCAAACAAGATATCACCACAGAGTTCTACTGTGGGCACCAATCATGATGATAAGCAGTTTCTTTTTTGAAAATTTAAATAACCAACATACAGAATAGTAAATATTATTAATTCTAATTTTTTAAATTAATTTTGCCTGTCCGTATGTCTGTGTAGTATGTGCATGCACAACCTTTGGAGGTAAGAAGAAGGTGGCTGGGCCTCCTGACACCATAGTAACAGACAGTTGTGGGCTGCCATGTAGACCCTGGTAATTGAACCCATTGCGCCATTGCTCTAGCCCTAGTAAATATTATTTTAAGTGCTATCTATGTTTCATATTCTTATATGAACAAGAAGGGCCCTGAGCTCTTCTGCCTGTATCACACATCTGCTGATAGCCCTTCTTATCCCCACACTCACATACCTCTCCTCCCCTTTCCATATCTTAGCTTGAACCCAGCCTATGCTTAGCTGTGTTCTTCTAGCTGGGCTGTTGATCCCTGGAATCTGATCCAGGAAATAAATTATTGGACAGCTTCTAAAAGAAACATGGCTATTGGCTGGCTGTGGGTAGAGGTATTCTGTGGCCTCTCCGTTCTGCACCAAGAAATCCTGCAGGCCTTCCTCCCACACCAGCATGCATAGGAGCTCCAGAGACGTTCAGGGACACACCTGGCCCTGCCTTCCTGGTACGGGAAATCCCAAGTTAATGATTTTTTAAAAAGGTGGGGCTCAGTGTCACCTTTGCCCATACTGGTCTTGTATCCCACTACATGTGGGATTGGTCAAGTCCTGAGGATTGGTTCCCATGCTCAGTGTGACCCTGACTCAATTCCACTGTGCAGTTGGCTGACATAACCCTTCTTGGTCTCCTGCCCAGGCCAGGAGGAAAGGAAACAGTCAGGTCTGGGAAGGATTGGCTGGCACAAATGAGCCCAGCCTCCTGTCATTTCCTTTAGGTAATGAGCCAAAGACAAAGAGGCCCCAGGAGAGACAGGAGCTCAGGGAGAAACACCACTCCTGAGACAAGGTGCTAGGCTAGAGAGCTGGCGCTGGAGGAACTATTCTGGGTTAGAGAGAGATCTGTTCATGTCTGGGGTGTTGTTTGGGAGCCAGATGGCTAAGGCAGGGTGGTCACAGTGATCCAGCTGGCCCTGAAACTATGGTGGCTTCTGGGTAACAGCTCCTACAAATCTTAGTATCCTCCATGCAGTTTGGGACACTATTCAGACTCCCATCTCCCTTTTCTCCTTTGTCATCTGTCTCCTGTCCTACCCTTTATGGCCCATTTTACTGCCCCTCTCCTGCATTGTGTTTCTGCCACCTCCTGATCTGACACCAGGATTCAGTCTTCACCCCTGTCCACCCCTGTTAGAGGATGCCCCTGTTGATTCTCTGAGATTCAGTAACTCACATTCTGTCATCTATCTTGTAGGATGCGGAATCTGGATCTGTCCTGGCTGGGATTGGGGCCCACATCAGCCTCACCATGGTTTCTCTTTTTCTTGGTTGGAGCATCCTGGCTCTTGGCCCACTGCCTCACCAGGATTTTCACTTTGTATGAAAAGTGTCGTCGTCTCCGAGGTTTCCCTCAGCCACCCAAGAGGAATTGGTTTTGGGGTCATTTGGGCATGGTGAGTGTGGCAACAGGATGGACCAGGGGTGTGAGGGTGCAGGGACCTTCAGTGGCTAAGGAGTTGGCAGTAGATTGGCCTGGGAACTGGGTATGAGGGCACATGGACAGACTCAGCTAGGGGCTGGGGTTTTGAGGGTGCAGAGATTTTCCCTACAGAGAATTAGGGATAGAATGGATTAGGGCCTTTGCATGCTCCATTTCACGCCTTTTCTTACATCCCTATTTGGTGGAGACCTGTTTGGGGGAGGGTGCTCAGACCTAAATGTTATGAATAAAGAGTGTGGGAAACCTTGGTGGATTCCATGGCAGGCAAGGGTGACCAAGGCGGGGGCCAAACAAGCCAGGTAGACAGAGATTAGTGAGAAGTTTTATTAGAAAGGGGAGGGAGGGAAGGAAAGAGAAAAGAGATAAAGAGACACAGAGACAGAAAGGACAGAAGAGAAGATTCCTATCTCCCCCGAGGGAACAGTAGGAAAGAGAGCATAAGTGGGCCGGGGTGTTTCTTTTAAAGGAGTACTTTGCACCTGAGTGCAGTTTGCAAGCATGGAACCCTGGGCTGACCAGGGTACTGCCTGAATGCATTCTGCCAGGTGACAGGGGCAGGCCAACATAAAGCCTGAATCCTTACACCAAAGAGGATGTGGGAAGGTTGGGGGGGGGAGTACACAATATGAGATTGAATCAGGATGGCTGCCAGCAGCATTTAATTGTAAAAAGAATACACCTTTTATACTCTATAATTGCACATGAGATTAAATGGGAGACAAGGGACATGTGAGCTGGGGTGTGGCTTGAGATCAGGGGCTGAGAAATATAACATTGACCTTAACAATAGGCAGCAGTCATATTAATGAAAGGGCCACAAGTTCTTCTCGCCAGAGATAAGGAGGTCGACTACTTTAGCAGCAGGAACTTTCCTCAAGCCTCCAAGGAATGGAGACCTTATCCAAATGCCTGATTTGGGGAAAAGGACTTCCTCTGGAGAGCAGACACTATACTACAATTTCTTAATTTTACTGTATGGGCCTGTTCTTCACATAATGTTCCCAAAAGAGAAGGTCCTCATATCTTTCTCTTTTCCTACTATATGATACCATTCTGATTTCTCTGTATTTACTAACTGAACTCTTGACCTTAATGTCCTCAGGCTCTGGATCTGAATTGTAGGCATTTCATCCTTAGAATCAGGTGTGTGTAATAATTTTCTAAGTTTCTTGTTCTTGGTTTAATTAGGAGGACACAGTGGGATTCCTGGTGGCAGGGATTTTTTTCCCCAAGAAATTATTTTATTTAGAGAGGCTACCATTGTACACATTTTTATTCTTTACCAAAGCCCACACAAACTTTCCCAAAGGGGAAGGCATTAATAAGGAGAACCATTAAAGATGAAAGTAAAAAGGTGCTGGAGAGTGTGTGTGGTCTGGAATGTGGAAATGCTGAAACGCTGTCAAGCAGAGCAATGGTTCCCATGCAGCCCACACCACCTGTTCTCTATCCCGAGTCTAGTCTGGATTTATTTTTAGCCTGTTTTCCTGTCTAGTAATATGTAAGGGCTCCCAGCATGGGCTACAAAGAGCCAGGATTCCTCACATTCAGACATTGTCCACTGCTTAGGTCTTCTACAGGGCCTTGGTTCAGAATCAGCTTCCTGTCTGGTACATTTCTTTGTTAATCCATCTTTGGGTTTTTATTTCATTCCAGAAGGGACTTTTATGCCATCCCAATATACCTAGGGCACAGCTGGGCCATATAACAGTTCTGTTCTGACTCTTCACCTCCTGGATCATATCTTCCTTCGATTGCTCTTTTCCACTATGATGGATCACTGAGGCCTATTGCGCAGCCTGGATTAGAGTGTCCACTCTGTTAGTGTTGTATTGGCCTCTCCTTGGGGTTCTAACAAGATACGCCTTCTGCTTCAGCCACTAAGAGCACCACCTGTGCATATTCACTGTCTTCCCTGCCCACCTTCTCTCTCTCTTTCTCTCCCTCTCTCTGGTCCCCCCTTCTTTCCTCTCTCCTGCTCCTCCTGTCCCCTTTCCCTTTTTTATGATCCTTTTCCCCTAATTAAAAAAATTCACTCTGCTTGAACCCTGTCAAATGGAGTCTTTGTCTCATGTGCTGCTTTTCTTAAATTACAACATATCCTTCTATGGGCCTTCCCTGGCCCTCACCTTTACCCAACACTTGGACTTTGATGTAGGCCCATTCTCTCCATTGGTTAACTTGGTCTCAGTTGTTTCATTTACAACTAGCAGAGCTCATAGCATGCACACAAGTTCTTGCAACCATGCACAAGACCCTTTACCCTGTGGGAGTGGTTGCTTATTAGGTGAGCTGCCACTCCTATGGAGATTTGCAGGTCCTCCTGCTATCTTGGGGCCTGTTGAGGCTGTGCCACTTTTAGAGGATCCAGTGCTTTAACCCTTCTACATAGTTGGAACTGAAGGCTTATGCTGGCAGAAGTGCATGTGAGGGAAACATTGGGGACAAACCCTGAGGCCACAGTGTAGTCCACAATGTCCCTAACAGGACCTTGCCCTGAGGCTTCTCCTGGGGCTGGACTTGATTCTACCTGAGAAATTAATCTTCTCCAGACAAAGGAGGTTTCTCTGAGGCAGTCAGTGTAACAACATAACTTTTATTGACCATGAGATGTAGGCTTGGTACTGGTAGGGACAGAACAAGAAGCAGGAATTTCTTCCTCCATCCTGCAACATCCAGATACATGTTCACTGCAGAGGCTGCATCACCTCCAGGGGCTTCAGGAGGAACCTGCACCAGGTGCTGAGGAAGTGCTTTAGTGTTCTCCAGAGAAGCGGAAGCAAGGCCTGGACACACATGCACACATAAATGGTAACACTCACAAACACCCCGCCCCCACAGACATCTTGAACCAGTTAGTAATAGGGACAAATTTAAAACTTCATCCCTGGATGATTTTTGTCATTTTACCAACGTTATAGAGTACAATTAGTCAAACTATCATGGCTGAACCTACCGCATGTCTAGGTTGTGAGAGACCACTTACTGTTCAGAGCATACAAACTTGTACATTGTGGTACTGTTGAGAAGACTGCAGACAAGTTTTAGATCATGGTATTTACTCAGATAAATGTACTAACATAAAAATAATAGCAAAAATTGTAAGCCATAGATAATCCTCAGGTCTGTTATAATTTTATGTGACCAAGGTAGTATTTACAGTCTGTTGTTGATAAAATATAATCATTATGTGAGCTGAGGAGATGGCTCAGTGGCTAAAAGCACTAGTTACTGTTCCAAAGGACCCAGGTTCAATTCCTAGCACCCACATGGCAGCTCACATCCGGCTTTTTATATTTCCAGTTCCAGGGGATCTGACTTCTTAACACAGACATGAATGCAGGCAAAGCATTGAGGCACATAAAATAAATAAGTCATTAAAATCATTATGTAGCATAATTCTATACATAGTTGTATAGATAAATATATACACACATACACTTACAGTGTGTAAAGGTATGTAAACGAGAGAGAATGAAGTAAGGAGAGATGATACATAGATGGATGGATGGATGGATGAATAGCTAGATGGAGTTTGGACTTAAGTAATAACAGAGAAATACCCTAATGAGGCATGCAAATTGGAAGACCAGGAAGCTGGTGGTATAACAGTGCAGTCTTAGAACAAAGGCTGAGTGTGGAGTGGAGTGTCAGATGTAAATGCTGAAGTCCAAAGGTCAAGCACCTGAATTTTGGTATCTGAAGGCAAGAGAGGCTGGGTGTCTCAGCTTTGGAAGCAAGAGTGAGTTTTCCCTTCATTTGCCTCTCGATCCTTTGGATCCTCAATGAGTTGGATGGTGCTTCTCACACGGTGGATGGTGGGTCATCCTGACTCAGTCTGCTAATGTGAATACTGATGTGTTCTGGAAACCCCATCATAGATACTGCCAGAAGTCAGGCTGTATCCTCTTTTGTGGGCATCTCTTAGCCCAGTCAATGTGGTCCCTGAAAAGAGCCATCTCAGAAGGGATTGCCATGCCTTTTTTCCCCCAGTCTCCTCCCACGGAACAAGGCATGAAGGAGATGACTGAGCTGGTGGCCACCTATCCGCAGGGCTTCGTGACCTGGTTAGGTCCAGCGGTTCCCCTCATCCATCTGTGCCATCCTGACATCATCCGATCTGTCGTCAGTGCCTCAGGTACCCACAGGAGCCTGTGGTGGTGTGGCTGTGGGAATCTGAGAACTTCTAGTTCTGACTCCCATGCTCTGTGTGCGGCTGCTGCGGTAGCCTCGCCTTTCCTTCGGTTGTCTCTCTCAGCCTTGCTGTTCTTTCATGGGCTCGCCATCCCCATGCCAGTCTCTTCTTCCTCCACTGCTGTTGTTTCTTCCTCCCCACCCTGTCCTAGCACTGTTGGTACCCTTGGGTTTCCAGGAGTCCATGCACAAAACTCTGTCCTAGAGGAACCCAGTCTTGAAGAGATGGGTCCTTACAAGAACACTCCAATCACCTGTGATCAGGAATGGCCCTGAGGAGGATGGGTGATGGCAGAATGGAGAAGTGAGATCTCTACTAGAGCAGGAAGGGAGGCTTCCTGGAGGAGACATGACAGGACCAGACACGACCAGAGGCCAGACCACCGAATGTCTAGGAGAGACAGAGCTAGGTATCTGGAATGAAGATAAATCTATGCTGCTGATAGGAATGTTCAAGTAGGGGCAAGATGTGTGGGGCCTATGTATGGCTGCAGCCCATCCCATCCCCAGGCACAGCAATGAGGCCACTTATGCTAATGTGTGATCCAGCTGCTTTTTCTATATTCTTCCTCTTCCTGTGCTTTCCCATCATATGGTCATTGCTCACCAACTAGGCCCAGAATCTCCCTTAAGAAATTAAACTCCAGCCTGGCCCATTTACCCTGCCCCTTGACAGTACCATACAGGTACAGGGTAAGCTAAGGAGAGAGGGGTCAGTGTGTGTTCCATAGTGGCCACAGCTCTATCATCTGCCAAGCAGGCCCCTGGCCCTCTCTGCATGGTTTGTTTGAAGGAAATAAAGGGAATTTATAGACTATAAAGACCTGTGGGATTGGTCTTCAGGCATGGCTGGATCCAGCTTTCAAGCAATGACATCAAAATCTGTGCCCTTAAGTCTGTTTTACCTTCCTGTAGCCCATTTTTCTTTTTCATCAAGGTCCAAGTTACAAGTCTCAGACATTCACTTCCATGGGGCAGCCAGCTTGCCTTTCTCCTGGCGTTCCCAGGGGTTCTGGGCTTGTAATTAATTTTAATTTCCTGACCCAAGCTACAGGACAAACTCTTGTTTTTTCCCTTTGGTTTTCTGTGATCAAGTTTCTCTGTGTAACAGTCCTGCCAGTCCTGGAGCTTGCTTGCTTTTATAGACCAGGCTGGCTTTGAACTCACAGAGATCCACCAGCCTCTGCCTCTCAAGTGCTGGGATTAAAGGTTTACACTGTCAGGCCCAGCATCTTCCTGCTTTTGTGAAGCCCCTCCTCTCTGCTCCAGGTGGACATTGCACCAGCCCCAGCTTGCCCACTGCTGAGGTATCTGCACTATCTCCAATTGGTCAGGTGACCTGAGTTAGGCTGGTCGGGCTGTGGCAGCCTTGCTAGGCAGCTGAGACACAGTATCTGACACAAACAATTTTCAAAGACTTTTGTGGTGATGCATACCAGCTTACAACATGTTGGCCAGATTGGGGAGGGGAAAGGGAAGAAGGAAGGGGGAAGAAGAGGGGAGACCAGAGGGAGAAAAGGGAAAATGAGAAGATATAGTTCCAGGCAATTGTTCAAATTTGTTCAGTTAGGTCCCACATCCTACAGTCTCTAGAAAACAGAGTCACAATCCAGGAGCCAACATTACAACACAGGAACTTGGGGGAATATTTCACATTCAAACCATAACCCCTGGTATATACTGTCCCTAAGTAAACATGGTTCACACCTGGGATCATGTGAAGGTGGCCCTATCTGGGACTCCTAAGGGGCCTCGAACATAGGCATGTCGGGTTCTGTGTAGTTGTTTGAGGATTTGTTTGGGATTGTAGTTTTTCTCCTTTTGCTAACATTTTTGACCATGTTTAGGGTTGTCTGATATCTGTCATGCAGAGCTCCACTGAGACATGATTTGACATTTGTTTGAGGCAGGGCTTAGTGTAGATTCCTGTCTGAAGTCCAGTTGGATCACACCTGGTACACATCTGAGAATTTAATGTGACTACTAATTTTTAAAATCTATGTACAGATACGTATGTGTGTTTATGAGAATGTACATGCATTTGTGTGACTGTGTGTGTGGAAGTAAGAGGCCAACATTGGGGTCATTCTTCATGAACCACATACCTTGTTTCGGGTCTTGGGGCTCACTGATTAGGCTGGGCTCAATAGCCAGAGATCCACTTGGATTTTTGCCTCCCCAGAACTGAGATTAGCAGTGAATGCCACTACACTCAACTTTTTCCTGTGGAAACTGCGTATAGCACTCAGTCATCATACTTGCACGGCAAACACTCTGCCAAATCAGGTCTCCCTACACCCTATAGTGACCATCTTAAAATAATCTCTGGGACACACTGAGATTTGTTATACTTTATCTATGTTACATTAGGCGTGGCCATGTCAGGGAAGATTATGCGCGTTTTTAGCCATGTTAGCAATGTTAGGCCAGGTGCATCTGTGTCACATGTATATTTCAGGAGATGACAGAAAGTGTTGGATGGATGGATGTGCTAGGTCTATGTAAAGGTCTCCAGAGTGTTGTGCTGTGTTGACATGCTAGACTATGTAGGAGCTATGTGCATGCATACTTGGGTGTGTTATGTAATGTCAGGCCATACTTTTGTCCTACCTACTCCTAAAGCTTGACCTGGTTCCCGATTACCTTTCCCCTACTCCTTGCTACTTCTGTCCTTCTCCCCAATCTTGTTATGCTGGTTGAAGTGGACATGCATACTCCCGATGAGGGCACCACATTCTTCCCAAGTTCATCCTGTGTTCTCCTGATCATCCTTGTTCATGTCAGCTGCGGTTGCCCCAAAGGATGCCATCTTCTACAGCTTCCTGAAACCTTGGCTGGGTGAGTCCCTGCAGGTGAGATGACTGGGGACATCCCTGGGGCCCAGAGAAAGGTGCCACCTTTGCCCACCACCAATGCTTACCTTCCCAGGGGACGGGCTTTTGGTGAGTGCTGGTGACAAATGGAGCCGCCACCGTCGCATGCTGACACCCGCCTTCCATTTCAACATCCTGAAGCCCTATGTGAAGATTTTCAATGACAGCACCAACATCATGCATGTGAGTGCCTGGAAGCCACCTTCCCAGCTGGGGTCTGGGGTTGGGGCTGGTAAGGGACTGCAGATAGGTCTAGTCCAAAGTATAGCTATACTGCAAGAAGTGAGCTAAAAATTGTAGCACATGGTTTCCTCTCAGTTTTGCAGACACAAAATCAGATCAACTTTGCTGTTCCTAAACATGTGACAGACAAGAACTAGGAGAGGGAAATGAACTGACTGAGGGAGCACTGAGCATAGGAATCAGAGCTTGGATTTGAACTCAGAACTCCTGAGCCAGTCTTGGGTCTTCATCTCCTATAGTAACAACTTCCATAATTACTCAGTTTGGGCGATCTGAGATAGGTTATCTGGGGTTATCCAGAAGGCTGGTTTGAGGGTGTCCATTATAGTGGTTTGGGTTGGTCAGAGTCTCAGGGAGCCAAGATTCAACAATGTCACAGTCTCTTTTTCTGCCAAGGCCAAATGGCAGCACCTGGCTTCAGGGGGTAGCACTCATCTGGACATGTTTGAGAACATCAGCCTCATGACCTTGGACACTTTGCAGAAATGTATCTTCAGCTTCAGCAGCAACTGTCAGGAGTGAGTTTCAACTCTAGGCCTTGGAACATGGTCTGTAGAATCAAAGGCAAGAGGCAGAGCGGGGAGGCCGGCCAGAGCAGCTGATAAGACTCCATGGAGGAAGTGGCTCAGAACTGATAGTGAACCAACCCCTGGGGAAGGAGCAGCCTCTCCCATGGGGTGAAACTGTTTAGAGAAAGCCACAGAGATTCAGATGAGACATGGGCATCTGGCATGAGGTAGCTTGGGATGAGGTCAGAAGAGTGGACAGTAGTGGAAGCATACAGACATTAAAGCCAAGGAAAGCATGGAACTTCATGTTGTAGTTTCTAGGAAGCCATAAAAGGTCTTCATTACATCTGTCTCTATAACACAATATCTAAGAGTACCAAATAGAGATTTTTTTAAGCTCATGGTTTTAGTGTAGCTTGATTTCATTTGCTTTTGTGTCTGTGACCAAAATTGTATTATGGAAGGAGCATGTGTTGGAGGAAACACAGGCATCTGGGAAGTAAAGAGAGACAGAAAAATGCCAGGGTTTTAACACCCCTTTAAGGGCACCCCTGTAATTGAAATGACTAAGGTAATACCATCCTGTTTGACTCCATTTTGTGTTTGCTTAGATATTTTCTCAGCTCTCTAACCCTCTCTCTTGAATGGTCACATCTGCCTTGGCAGCACAGTTGAGGTTTCCATGGCCTTAACCAAAAGAATTGTCAAGCTATGTCTAAAACGACTGCCCTGCCAGTAATGAACATAGTAAACCAATGATGAGCATGATCAAAGCAAAGCTCTATAGATGGTGACTGCCCTTTAAAAGAAAATGGAGTAGAAGTGCAAGAAAATGGCCATAGTCCAGCTGGAAGAATTGATGGGTTCTTGTCTGGATGGACAATGTTAGGGAGCAGGTAGGTCAGAACTGACCCCTCTGTCCAAGAGGAAGAGAGGGGTCTGGTGTCCATACTATGCTGTGGATGCTCAGGGAAATGCCTAGGCTCATGGAAATGGAATAAAGAGAGAGAAGAGATTGAGTGTTCAGGGCCCATGTCTATCATGTGTTATCATCTTTTCCAGCTTAGTTGGGCTACTCAGTATCCTGTGGGGAAATAGTTCCCACCATTTACTGAGGAATGCGGCTCAGGTTTTAGGGCTATTGCATTCTTGCTGCCCTTCATGTTCTCCTTGTATAGGAAGCCCAGCGAATATATCGCTGCCATCTTGGAGCTCAGTGCTCTGGTTGTGAAAAGAAATGAACAGCTGCTTCTACGCATGGACATGCTCTACCGCCTCACACATGATGGAATGCGTTTCTATAAGGCCTGCCGCCTGGTACATGACTTCACAGATGCCATCATCCAGGAGCGACATCGTACTCTGCCCAGTCATGGTGGTGATGGTGTCATCAAGGCCAAAGCCAAGTCCAAGACTCTGGACTTCATTGATGTGCTGTTGCTGAGCAAGGTGGGTGCGATAGCACGTCTAAAAATTAGTTTCACTGTGTAGGTCAGGCTGTCCTTAATCTCTTCTTCCTCTTGCTTCAGCTCCCTTGGTGCTGGAATTACAGATGCCTGTCATCCTTTTTTGGCATTAAGTAGCTTTTTTGAGATTGCCAGGCTTGTCTTCAGGGAGGGGTAAATGGATCTGCCTGCCCTAACTTCTGACACGACATACTTGTACCACCCCTCACGACTTAAAAAATGATTTTTTATTTTATTTTAGTTTTATGTGTATGAGTGTTTGCTTGTATGTATGCAGGTGTACCACATGTGTGCTTGGTACCCTAGAGGCCAGAAGAGAGTATTGAATCCCCTAGAACTGAAGTTATGGATGATTGTAAGCCACCATGTGGATGAGGATGGGTGAGGATGCTCTTAACCATTGGGCCATCTCCCCCGCCCTATAGCTTTATGATTTTAAGAACAGAATCGATGCTGCGATTGAATGTGAGATGATTCAACGTTTTATAATTTCAGTAATAATTTGGGCTCAGTGGAGAGAACATCTAGAAACCATGAAAGACATCTGAGGAAAAGAAAGGGACAAGTCAGAGAGAAATACATAGAACACTGGACATAGCCAGTACAGCCTTTCTAGGTCTGAAACGGAAAGGTCTTTCTTGGTGTCTTAGGGTTTCTATTGCTGAGATGAAACACTGTGGCCAAAAAAGCAAGTTGGGGAGGAAAAGATTTATTCAGCTTATACCCCCAGATCATAGTCCATCCTTGGAGGAAGTCAGATCAAGAACTCGAGCAGGGTTGGAACCTGAAGGCAGGAGCTGATGCAGAGGCCATAGATGGTGCTGCTTACTGGTTTGATTTTCCTGGCTTTCTCAGCCTGATTTCTTATAGAAACAAAGACCACCAGTCCAGGGATGGCACCATCCACCATGGATACCAATGTCCCATTGGTTATTAATTGAGAAAATGCCTTACGGCTGAATCTCACGGAAGCATTTCCTCAGCTGAGGCTCCTTCCTCTCTGATGACTCTAGGTTGTGTCAAGTAGACACACAAAACTAGCCTCTGGGCCTGGCATGGGTTTTTGGAACCCCAAAGCCTACCTGTGATGCACTTCCTCCATCAAAACCACATCTATTCCACCAAGGCCACACCTCCTAATCCTTCCCAAACACCTCATCAACTGGGAACTAAGCATGCAAATATATGAACCTATGGGTCATTCTCATTCAAACCAGGATTTACAGAACAGAAGAAAGACTCACATATTATGAATCATGAAGGGTTGTAGGACAGATGGCACATCTATGTCATCTTTGTTTAAGAGAGGGCAATAAGGTGAACAATGAGAGGGAGAAGGAAGAAGAGAACAGGAGAAGGAAAGTAAATGGAAAGGGGGCAGGAGAGCAAGCAAGGAATATTAAGACTAATTATTAGCTATAAAATAATGGATTTCATTGTAACATTCACATAAATCATCTTACATTTCTCTCAAACTTTTTCAAATAAAGAGGGAACTTTATGTTTTGAATATGAACAACTTTAATCAAGTGCTATGGTAAATTTTGTGGGTTTGCAAACCTGATAGCTTCCAAAGGAAATAAGAAAAATTCTCTAGGCTTAGACCCAAGAATAGGATAGGAAAGTAGGGAAGGAATCAGAATGCAAGGTGAGAAAAGCCGGTGAGGGAATGCATTTGAAAAATACTGAGAGGTAAAGAAGGGAGAATGGAACCTTACTTATTGACCACATACAGTGTGACATCATCTGTCCGCACACATTGCCATCTTGCCCCTATTTCTTCTGTCAGTCTCAACCTTTCAGTCCTGAAGACAAAACCTTTGGTGACAAAGTAGCTGGCAGTAAAGGAAGAAATGGGGGAAAGCCACTCTCCTTACCTAGTGTTTAAAGTGAATGACTTAGAGCAGCAGTTCTCAACCTTCCTAATGCTGCAACCCTTTAATATAGTTCCTAATGTTGTGGTGAGCCCCACCATAAAATTATTTTTATTGCTGCTTCATAACTGTAACTTTGGTACTTTCATGAATCACAATGCAAATCTTTTTGGAGATAGAGGTTTGCCACAGGTTGAGAACCACTGACTTAGAGCAAAGCTTAATATCTAACTGCCTAGACAAGTTGCCATACAACGATTCTATTTGCAAGGTGGCTAGTCACTCTTTCCCACAGAAATCACTCATCATACATGAAGTGGAAAATATCCATGGATCTTTGATTCCTTCAAGTAGGAAAAAATAGGAGACAGGGGAGCCAGGAACAATGCCTGTTTGGTGGGGACTTTGGTGATGGTGACTGAAAGGAAAAGTATCAGCTCAGGACACCCCAAGACCAGGTACTCAGCACAAAGGAAATTGATTTTCCCCAGAGGGACAGAGGGCAGGGAATAAAACAAAGACAGGAGACAGAGGATAAGGGAGACAGGGATGGGTACACGGGAAGGGGGCCTGGGGTATATGTCCCGGAGTGGGGAAAACCACTGCTTCTGGATACAGTGGAGACAGATGTGGCACACAGGAAAATGGAAGTTTATAAAGGCACAAGGGGGAACTTCATGTTAGAGTGAGGTGTTTAATTTTAATTGAGCATGTTAAGTAAGTGAGCTGGACTTTTGATTGCTGGACTTCAATATTTTGATAGCTGGAACTTGGTGGTCAGCCTGAGGAGGACGAAATGGCCAAATAAGGGAATAGACTAGCTTTAAGAATGCAATCTAATGGTTAATTAGCAAGGCAGAGGGAATCGGGAAGAAGGGGAAGGCCTGTCAGAGCCTAGCTTGCCATGCTTGAGCTAGCCAGAGTCATTTCAGTGACCAAAATACATGCAGGAGTATGGAGGTCTTGTTTGCCTGATTGGAAAAGGATCTCTAGATATTATTTTATGTTAGACACAAGAGCTTTCAGAAGTGGTTTGATGTAAGACATTGCCTTGTTTCCAGGATGAAGATGGAAAGAAGTTGTCAGATGAGGACATCCGAGCTGAGGCTGACACCTTCATGTTTAGGGGTGAGAGTCTCAGTGTGAGACCAGAGAAGGGACAGGAGTCTTTACATTTCAGGGGTCTGGGTTCCTCCATTCCCTTTACTCTTTCTTTTCCCCATCCCTCCCGAGAACTTCACCGCTTGAGTGCCGTCTACTTAGTGGTGCTGAAGCAGCCCAGAAATCCAAGCCTAACTGTCCTCTCTTCAGGCCATGACACCACAGCCAGTGGGCTCTCCTGGACCCTGTACAACCTAGCAAAGCACCCTGAATACCAGGAGCGCTGCCGGCAGGAAGTGCGGGAGCTCCTTAAGGACCGAGAGTCTACGGAGATTGAATGGTGAATGCAGGTTCTGGTGGCCTGTTTCTGAGCTCCCCCACCCCAGTTTCCCAGGTGGGGAAGGGAACTCTTTGGATGATTCTCCTATTATTGGCTAGTGGGTGAGGCATCTACTTCATCAGCAAAGAAAGGTTTATGTATGGGAACAGAAGGATACAGACTTCAAAGAGAATTACTGACAAAATAACATGAGGTGAGGGCCATGATGCTACTTTGCACATGTTGAGTAAATGAACTTCCTTCCCCTCCCCCATTTTTGTCCTAAATGACATTTTCCCATGTTATCCTTTCCTGATTGGTTGTTCATCTGCTCCCTAATTACTTCCTTACTCTTCTTGCCAGGGACTCATAGGGGACATATGGGGATAAAAGTCATGTCTATGTTGTGTTGAACATGTGACTCATCCATGCATCCAATCATTAAACCCTCCCATACTGCATTTCCATTCTAATTTCATGCCCAGCTTAGTCTATGCTAAGGATTCATCCCAGAGATCCTCCTTCCAGGAGCTCTCAGGTGGGTGGGAGAACAGTCTTTGGTCATAACACCGCGAGAACACACGGGAAGGCATGGGATAGAGAAAGAGAAGCAAGTGTAGGGGGAAAGTAAAGGTTATGCTTCATTGGGAAAGTCACTGAATATCTGTGTGAGATTGGGGAATAGGGTGATGTGGGCTGCTGGAGGAGGAAGACAGTCGAATTGGGATGGATGACTGGGAGCAGAAGGGGTGTGGGAAAGAGAAAATATATAAAGAGGAATGGAGAAGGGAAGAAGGAGGTGTAAAGAAGGGGTAAGGTGATTCAGGGAAGGAGGGATGGGAGAAAGAACTCTGAGAGAAGACAAGATGAGAGGAGAGAAACATACAGGAGGGACAGGGGAGAAGGCAGGCAGATGTCAGTGAGTTCAACGCCAGCCAGAGCAACACAGAGAAATGCTATCTAGAAAAACAACAACAACAAAAGATGTGTGAGAGCAAGAGAGGTTTTGTGTGAATAGAGGAAGAGAGTCTGAAGAGCAAACACAGAAGATCAGTTTATTCTTTTTTTTTTTCTTTGCATTTTGATTTTGTTTTGGGCATACGAAATGTTCATTTTAATGTAAAATTTGTTGAGTTTTTATGGTTGTGAGCCTAGTCTTTAATGGCTGAGTTATCCCTCCAGCCCTATTTTACTCCCCCACCCCCAATTTTGTTGAGCTTTTAAAATGGTGGGTATGAACATTGTTTTTCTCAGGGGGAAAAAACAAAACAAAAAACTAAAGATGCTTGCTGAATTTCCTCTGGCACTTTCCTAATTGTTTGCTCTTCTTGGGACTACTTTACTACTGAGGAAAGGTTAAGTGGGCAACACAGGGGCTGGCTACCTCTGCTTTGCTCCTCAGGGACGACCTGGCCCAGCTGCCCTTCCTCACCATGTGCATCAAGGAGAGTCTGCGGTTGCATCCTCCTGTCACAATGGTCTCCCGCTGCTGCACCCAGGACATTTCTCTCCCAGATGGCAGGGTCATCCCCAAAGGTAGCCACAGAATAGGGTAGAAGGGTTTTGGGTACACAGCAAAGTTTATCAGGCAGCGAAGCTTACCTTGCCCGTCCCTTTCCCCCCACAGGCGTCATCTGCGTCATCAATATTTTTGGAACCCATCACAACCCAACTGTGTGGCGGGACCCTGAGGTGCGCTGTAACTCCCCACCTCCATCCTTGTTCATCTCTCAGTGGCCCCCGGATATCAGATCTCTTTTCCAGGCACACTCGAGCCTCTCTGTCTCTGACTGTGTTGGTAGGTGCCACTCATTCATCATGTCTGGTCTCTTCTGCAGGTCTATGACCCCTTACGTTTTGATCCAGAGAACATCCAGGATAGGTCACCTCTGGCTTTTATTCCCTTCTCTGCGGGACCCAGGTGAGGCCAATGGGCTCAGGATTATGAAGTGGGATTTGGGTCTGGTGGTGAGGAAGGAGGAGTTGAGATAGTTGAGGTTTCTGGTACCCTCCCCAAACAAAACAAAAAACCAATAACAAAACAAAACAAAAAAACTCCAAAGCAGAGTAAAAACCAAGGTTTTGTGAGCCCGTTTGGGAAGTCCCAAGAGCGGCCACAGATGCTCAGAGCATCATCCTCTTGCTGATTGGTATTGTGGTCTGAGCTCTGGGCAAGTCAGGCATTAAGTGAAATCCCTGTTCTATTAGCATCCCTTGCTGCACCTCAGGCCGCCCTGTTGCCTGGGCCGACTCGGTTACATTGGGTTCTACAGTGCCTGGCTGGGTCCCAGCACAGTCAAGAGTATGCACTCTGCTCCCCCATAGGAACTGCATAGGACAGACTTTCGCCATGAGTGAGATGAAGGTGGCCCTGGCGCTGACACTGCTGCGTTTCCGCATCCTGCCTGACCACAAGGAGCCTCGCCGGAAACCAGAGCTGATCCTGCGCGTGGAGGATGGGCTGTGGCTGCGGGTGGAACCTCTGAGCCTAGGGGCACAGTGATCCAAACTGTGCTGTCACCCTGCAAGCAGGGGCTGTAAGGGATTTATCCAGTAGACAGGGTGTTTGATTTTTTAAAATTTTTATTATTTTTTTTCTTATTTTACATATCGATCCCAGTTCCCTCTCCCTCCCTCCCAACAGGGTGGTTTATTTGAGCCAAAGATCCCTGACTTCCTTGGGATGATCACAGACTCCTATGATGAGGGTTCATTTTCTAGCCAAGTTGCACTACTCTGGGCAATAGGAGCCAAGGGGTGACCCAGCAGGAGAGGGACCAGGATGACAGGCCAGACTGAGACTCAGATTCTCAGAGGCAAAGCCTTAACACCACCTTGACCCCGATTCTAATCTCATATGGGATTTCTGATTTCGTGGGTTCTAGTCAATATGCATATTAAATCTAACAAGCCATCATTTTGCTTTCTTTTGAGATGATGCAGTGTTACCCTGAGTGGTTCTCAAATTGCTGGTGTTAAAGGAAACTCAGCCTGAGGCTCCCAACCATCTGAGACTTTAGTCTTAGGAACAGTGTATGGGGCTAGTTCTGGCTCTTATGTAGTGTGTCTGATCATTGTGGGGTTGTGGCCATTTTCACTCATGAGAGGAACCCAAGGAGGAGAAGGAGACTGTGATGGTTTGGTTTGGTTTTGTTTTCAGCACTGTGGACAGCAACAGACTGAGCTTTGCTACATTGACGGTTAGGGAGTTCACTGGGGCATGGAGTCCAACCAAGGCTTGAATATCTTTCAGCCATACTAAGGGCTAGTTCATTAGTTTAGTGGAGCAGTCCTTGCAGCACATGTGAAGTCCTGCCGTCCCACGTTAAAATAACTCAGGGGGAAAACAGCAAAACAGGGCTCTAAAAGAGATTTTTAAATGTTTAGTATTCTCCTTTGGAAGCCACATTTTTTCCTTCGCCTTTATTCTTGCTCCAAATGTTTTTCTTATTCTAATCCACAGAATTCCATTCACAGAAGTAAATGAAATAGGAAAAGAATGTCCTTTATTATCCTGACATGTGAAATAATCACTAGCAGCACTGTGTCATAAAAACTGGTAAAAATGAGGTCAGCTCTCCCCACCTAGAGCAGTACTTAACATCTAACTGCTCAACTAAGTTGTGACGATGAAATAATCCTATTTGCAAGGTGGCTAGTCACCTCAATTTCCAGCAAATCCAAAAGAGGTAACCCTGGAGCTGGGCTTTTCATTTGTTATCCTTGGGTGTCTAGTAGGGGCATTGTTGCCAGTTTACAGGGTATCCCCATTTTAACACCTATTACATGTGTGTATGCATATCCTCTATACATTTCTGCAGTAGTAGATTTCTATACGACTTTTTGAAATGCCTTTAATGTTAATTATCCCTCCCCATGTTCATCTACCTTCCCCATTAAACTCATCTTGTATCATTATTTCCCTTGAACACTTTATACCACTTTGTTCTGTCCTCTCCCATAGAAATCATGCCTCCATGGCTTCTTACTAATTTCCTGACTTCTATGGTTATTCCATGTGTTTCTCATCTACTTGTCTTTAGTCTTTTGAGAACTCTTTGTTCAGTTCCATGCCTTATTTTTTAATTGGGTTATTGGTTTTCTTGATGTTTCACAGGAACTTTTAAAGGTAGACTAAATGCATTTTGTGATATGCGATGGCCATGAGCCAATAAGGACAAGAAGTAGTTTTAAAGTGATGTGTTTTATTGTCAAATTGACAAGAAGTGAAATTGTGGTGGCTCTATTGATAGTTAACTGGACAGAGTGAAAATTGGTGTCAGAGACAAACTTCTGTTCATGTCTCTGAGGTATTAAGTGGATCAGTTAGCATCTGGACACAGCTGTGAGGGGTTATGTAGGTCAGTTAGCATCTGGGCATGGCTGTGAGGGGTTATGTAGGTCAGTTAACTTCTGGGCATGGCTGTGAGGGTTATGTAGGTCAGTTAACTTCTGGGCACAGTGTGAGGGGTTATGTTAACTTAAGTGGGGAGACCACCTTATCTGCCAGGAGAGAATAAAGGATAAGGGAGTGGCGCTGAACAGCAGCATTCTTCTGCCCATTGCCTGGATATGGTATGTGACCAGCTGCCCCAGTTTGCTGCCACCACCTGTCATGATAAACTGTATCCTCAAACTGTGATCTAAAATAAACCCTCCTCCCTTCACTTGTCTTTGTTAGTTATTTTGCCACAGCAAGGGAGATGAGTAATTAATACATTCTCCATTTCCTCCTCTTTTTGTGTCTTGTGTATAACTTCTAGTAATCTTTAAATTCTGACAGTATCCCAGCTTATCTCCTCCAGCCCTTTTCCCCACCTTGATTTTTTTTTCAGATTTAGTAGTGATTCATGTACTTACCCAGCCAACATCCTTTCCACTCCTAGCCTTAGAAACAAATACCTTCATATACCATGTATCACCACTGTCATCCCCACCACCATGACTTACCTCCAAATAGTTATTAAAATTAAGTGAATGGCTGTTTTTACTCACTGCTATATTTGCATAGTGGAGATATCCTGGAATTGTGATTGCTTCTGTGGTTCATAACCTATTCTTGGATTGATATAGACTATTGTATTTGAGAATGTGAACTGATGGGTGTAGCTATTAATTATGAATCTTACTCTTCTCCAACCTAGCCTCATTTTATTATTGCTTATTCGGCAGCTGAAAGAATAAAGTTGATTAAAGAAAATCCATCCAGTGAAATAACACTACAGGCTCAGTTTTGGCACAAAGATATAAAGGCCATAAGAAATCAAGGCAATAGAACCATTCTAAAAAAATACAAATCCCCCTTACCAGAAGGAAGTAGTTTGGAAAGAACAACACCCAAATTCCCAAATATTGTCTATAAATGTTTGTTTTCATTTAAATGGACTTGGTTATATAAAATAAATAAAAAAGAAAAAGATGCAATATATATACATATATATAAATCCAAAGCAATAGAGTCTATGTAAATTAATTAGAAGAAATTCCAGCAAGATATTAGAAAAGATTATTGTAAGAATGATTAATAAAATAAAAAGAGAATACTAACACTTGGATGGTATCTGAGTATGTGCTTATGAGGTATGTGTGTTGTGCATGTGGTATATATGTGTATGTGTGGTAGGTGTATGTGATGTGTGTGTATGTGGTTGTGGCTGTATTTGTGTGTGGTGTGTTTGTGTATGTGGACTGTGTGTGTGTGTGGTGTGGGGGTGTTGGGGAGGGATATATGTGTGGGGTATGTGTGTGTTTGTATGTGTATATATGGGCTATGTGTATGTGGGCTATATGTGTGTGGTGTGTTGGCATTTAGGAAGGATATATGTGTGTGTGTTGGAACCAGTTAGTGACTAAACTGTCCACATGGGGTTGTGCTCATGGCTGAAGCTGCTGTCAGAGTCCCCTGACCTCTCATCCTCAGGCCTGACTTTTGTAACAAAGACCACACATTGCAGAGAAACACTGACTTTCAAAGCAGCCCAAGCTCTCGGGTGTATGGCTGGGTAAATGCTACAGCTCCCTCACTCCAGGTTAGAGGGCTCTGAGGTTCATGTATGTGCTTTCTGTCTTCCAGAGCTCCCATTACGTCTGAACCTTGACTGCCTCTGTGCCAGCCTCCTTCCTCAGCTGTCTCTTCTTCCTCCTCAACACATCTGACTTCCCCTCTGTCTTGCTGGTATCCAGGTCTCTCCCAAAGAGACACCTTCCAACTGAAACTTGTCTTTGAATAGCACCAAATGAGTTTTTTGAACTTGACTTCCACTTTTTCATAACACACATTCAGTGGTCATTCAGCAATCCTCACAGGTATACCCTTTCTCTGAGGTTCAGAGAGGACAGCTTGTGAATCCAAGATCACAAAGCTAGAGAGTGGAAAGCCTCAGTGTTTTGGAGTTTCTAACCCAAAGCTCACATCTTTAGTAAAAGATTATCAAGGGCCTAATGTACAATGGATGTTTACAAACAAGTAGTTCCCTGAGAAATGTGTCAAAGGGACCCAAACTGTCTTTATTCTGTCACAAAGTTATAATGACAAACAGGAGCTCTGTGCTGGCTGCTCGGTTTAACTTATCTAATATTCATGAAAGCTTGATATGCCCTTCAGTATGTATGTGAGAAAACATCAAGATGAGTAGAAGTATCCAAGGTCATAAGTCATCCTGATAAGAACTGTACAAGCTGTATGTTAGTCTTTGTTCAGAAATCACATGTATGAGTCCTACTATATGCTGGGTTTGAGACAGCGTTCTTCTCAAAATTTAAATGAAAACAATACACAGTAGTGAATATTATGTAAGTAACATCCATCCATCATATAAAGAAAGATTTTACTAGGAGCAACTAAGTGAAAGGAATATGGTAATTTGATACACTTACAATTGAATATAGTAATAATTCTCCAAAATATGAGGATGATGAAAATATAATGTAAATAGAGACAGAGCTTTTCTTTTGTCCTGACTGCCTGGTCCCAAATAAACATACAAAAGCTTATATTAATTATAAAATGGTAGGCCTATAGCTCAGGCATATTACTAACTAGCTCTTACAACTTAAATCATCCTATTTCTATTTATCTATATCTTGCCACATGGCTTGTGGCTTTACCTGTCCTCTAGCATCTTGCTTCCCTAGTGGCTGCTTGCATCTCTCTCTCTAACTCCGCCCTTCTCTGTATTTTCAATTTGGCTTTCCCTCCTAGTCTTACTCTGCCTCACTATAAGCCAAAGCAGCTTTTTTGTTAACCAATGAGAGTAAAACATGTTCACAGCATACAGAATGTCCCACAGCATAATGAGATGATAATAATGATAATGAGATAAACCAAAGGTTTCTGTAGAGAAATGGATTACTATGTCATGTTTCAATATGAGGTATGTTTAGAGCTCATCAGACTTCCTGGAGGCATTAGGTCTCCTTCCCCTAGTTGGCCTCTGGTGTCTGCTTGCCTCAGAACTTCAGTTGGAAAAATTCTATGTGATGGAGCCTGGGATGGGAATGAGG